CAAATTATGCTTATGTCTTAGTTTTGAAATGCTGAATTTTAAACAAATTATGCTTATGTCTTAGTGAACTTGGCAAGTACTACTATTTTAAAATTTGATCATTGCCACCATCATTTAAGCTTAAGAAACATTTATTGAGTACCTGCTTTGTGCTAGGCTCTGCATTAAGATAAGGGGAAAATATTAGGTAAAGCACACTTTTTTTCCTTAAAAATTTAAGTCCAATGAATGAGAAAGATTATGGTAAAACCATTACTACTTTTATAAATCGTTACGAACGACCCTTTTCTAAGGTGTTACTGAAGCCAAGAAAATAAATGCCTGAGTCAAGTTTGGCAATAATTTCTTAGAAGAGAAAGGGAAGGAAACGAAAGGCCTATGACAACTGCTTTGCATTTCTCATATTTTTACGTTTATGGGGCTACAGATAAGGAACACTCTTTATCATCTCTGCACACAATAGTTCAGCCAGAAACAAATTATACCTCCTTTTTCTCCAGGTAGTGACCAAATGTACATTGGTAGGCAGAGATTCTTCCCCCATGATTTTTTAAATTTAATTCCGTGTTACTCCAAGGACTACTGACATTCTAAGCTTGCTGTACCATCTTCCCACAAATAACATTTAAAGTCACTTAATAATGAATAATAAAGCACAAGCTAGTAAACTTTTTAATTGAGTATTTCAGTGAGTGCTTTAAAAATCTTTGCCTAAGGAACACATCCAGTGTCTTGTGTATATATTGTGATATATGTAGTAGACGATTTATTGGCTTTAAATGAATACTCTTTTAATGAAGATGAGTGTGGTTGTCTGGAGAGTCTAATGTTTGTGCTTTCCTCTCTAAATTTCAAGGTGTGAAGAAACAATTGCCTTTAAAGAAAACTCACAGTAAAAATAAGTTATTCAAAGAAAAGCTGCCCATTTTAATAGATTAGAGTTAAAATTCACAGTTTCAGATTGGCTTATTTTATAAGCAGTTCTGAGGATTTTAGGTGAAAACTAAGGCAGCTAAAGTCAGCTAATACAGCCTGGTTTTAATATCCTTCTCATTAAAATACTGTCTTGTATGCCTTAAAGATATATTGTACTGCAAACTCCAGAAAATGGGGGAGGGGGAAGGAAAGGAGGGTATGTGTAGAGAGTGGAGGATGGGAGGAGCAGCTGTGTAGTTGCAGATGGACAATCTTTTATTGATGTCTTTAATGGTCCTCATTTGCTTCTCCTTTTCATCGTCTATTCTTCAGTTCCTCAATTGTTTCTTATGCCTCCAACATGATCGTGAATATAGATCTCCTATATCACTTATTCCTAAAACATCAATAAGACACTACAATACATGACACCTTCTTTGAACTTACTCTTTCTTCCATGTTGCTCGTATCATTTCTTTCTGATGATACCAATTTGAGAAAAATGCCTGTTAGCACCAGAGCCCTTGATGTGTTCCCCACTGGGCTGATTAAGCCAATGCAGTGTTCCATTCATGAGAACCCACACATTTCCTATATTGATGGCATTATCAGTAGTAGTAATCACAGATATCATTACCAGCCAATTACACAAACACATCTAAACTAGGTAACCTATTCTCCAACATTATCTCTTACAATTCTCAATTTTGTAATGAAGCTGATCATCCTCTTGGCCAATTAAGTGTAGCTACATATTTTGATCTAGTCGGTTTAAATGCAACTCTATTGAATTATGCAGTAGGTAATGACTTACATATGTTGGTAACAAAGCAGAATGAGGGCAATTTGAGTGTAATTTGTTTTTTATTCTGTTTGAAAACTGCATTAGAGAAGGTTAACTGCTTAAAAAATAGACCCAAACATATTTGTAGATCAAGCACAATGACTGATATTTCCTGTTTAAATAGCAGGATTAAGTTTGAGAATTGGCTTGGCTACACAGTGGTTCAGGGACCCAGAGATCATTTTTTGGGGGGGGGGCTTGAATTCTGGGCCTGGGCGCTGTCCCTCAGTTCTTCAGCTCAAGGCTAGAGCTCTACCACTTAAGCCACGGTGCCACTTCCAGCTTTCTGGTGGTTTATTGGAGATAAGAATCTCACAGACTGCCTGGGTGGGCTTTGAACTGTGATCCTTAGATCTCAGCCTCCTGAGTAGCTAGGATTATAGATGTGAGCCACCGATGCCTGGTTCCTTTGGATTTTTTTTACATACTCCATTTCATATTATCCTTGCCAAAGATGCACATCTATTTATTAGATTTTGGTCATATTAACATGTCTAAACCAGGAAGATTGAAAATGCCAGTCTGTTCTTGAAAGGAGAGGAAAGTATGTATTTTACTGAGCAGTTAGTTACTACTACTGTTAGGACTCAAAACAGAACTTGACCTGTTTTACTTATTTAATGAATACTTTACTTGTCAGTATTATTTGGAACTTCTTCAGGAATACTTCACTTTTATTTTTCAAATTATGTGCCAGATGTCTTATAAAACCTACATGCAAGCCTTGTCTCTTAGATCTGAATATATTAAGCAATTGAGAGAGCATGGAATTATATTTTCTAAGTTTTAATATAAATAAATTATGTTCATGCTATTAAAATTATTTTCGGCAGGTTCAAAATAACGTTTGACTAAAAATGTGAATCTTTTTCATAGGTTCGAATATAAAGTTTGGGGCTAAACATGTCTCTTAGTTCATTTAGCCTTTTATTTTTTATTATTATTATTTTTAAATTTTATTTCATTTTAGTGTAAAGGTGATGTACAGAGGGCTTACAGTTACATAAATACACAAGTAAGGTAATGAACACATTTCTTGTCATTGTTATCCCCTCCCTTGTTTTTCTCCTACTTTCTCTCCCCCTTCCCTTCTCCCCTCCCAAGTTGTGAAGTTAATTTCCAACACAGTGTCTTGTGAGTATTGCTGTTACATTGGTTCACTCATTGTCCTTGGACTGACCATTTTGTTGTACCCCTTCCCTTCCCCAAATCAGATACATGTATATACAAGTCACAGGGTACCAAAATCAAAAACAGTGACAACAGAGGATAAACCAAAGGGGGGAAAAAGAAAGAATTTCACACAGTACATTAAAAATAAAAACAAAACAAAACAAAAAACCAAAATATCTTGCTTCCATATCTTGGAGTTCATTTCAGAATTCTATGTTTCTGTAGGAAAGAATGACCTTGTCCCATTCATAAAGAATTAGAAAGATTAGGAAAAAGTCATCTTAAGTGAAGCATGACAGACCTAAAGAAATATAGGCTCCATGGTTCCCCTCATTTGTAATAATTAATATGTCTATGATAAGCCTGGCAGAAGATCACAGTATCTCAATAGCTATGTACATATGACTATATAAGATGATATTAATTGAAATGAACTCCAAGATATGGAAACAAGCCTTTTTATTTTATAGACAAGGAAAGAGAGGGCTTGAGAAATGAATTATTACCTAGTTGTACATGAATAATCAGTGGTGGCATCAATCCAGGCTAGTTTTCTAAGGCCAAGTGTCTTCCTAAGACATTATTTGCTGTCACTTACATAGAGAATCATGTTCACACAGCATGCCATTAAATAATGAGTGTCTATCCACTTATAGAGGTGAAATAAAAGTAACATGCTGCAGTGGAGATAGGTGATCATGTCTAAGCCCCTGTGAACATATAACTAGAGTAATTTTCAGAATTTTCAAACTCATGTGAGATCCACAAGTAGTGAGTAATTAAATGGTTTACAAAAGAAGAAAACCAACACCTTTATTTTGTCAGCAAAACAATTGTTTCTAAAAAAATCTTCAAATCTATAATTATATACTTCATGGTATGTGAAAAGATGAGTAAATGCTAATTAATATTTAGAATGACAAGACCAAGGGGAACAAATTAAAAAATCTGAAATGTAGGACTTTTGTTTTATGTAAGGCATCAAGTAATTATTTTTTTTAAATGACATCCTTTTTCATTATGAAAACAAAATCTGACTCTACCAGATAATAGATAAATTTTCTTACTTACTCCAGTTTGTAGCCTAATATCATTCTATGTCTACAAGCTTGTATAAAATGGACACTGCATAAAATGGTGACGACCTCCATAATCTTTACACTAGCCAAATTTCCAAGAAATTATGGAATTATGGAAAATTTGCTGTTATTTCATCATTCTTTATGTCAGATAGTAACAGTAATTGAACTGATTTAATGATTGAATCACAATATTTAAAGTGGCCTACAATATTTAAAGAAAACTGAAGTAGAATGGTCAGAATTGGTTTTTATTATGCGTTCCGTAAACATTAATTGTAAGCTAACAATAACCATGTTTAGTAAGAACTAAATAATCAGACAAACATTATAAATGAGGATGAGAAAATACTTGGCTTGCTCCCCGTCCACCTTCTACCATGCACAAACTAAAGGACTTTGTAACTTGCTGATGCTCTGAAGGAACAGTGTGGCAGGTGCTGGCTTTCATATTTCCCACATCCTGTGTTAAGTCTGTAATTATTGATCATTGTCTTTGTCTTGTCACATTACTATAATACCAGGTTTTACAATGAATAATCCATAACCCATGTTTTTCTCATGGTCCTGGAGTTTTAGTTCAAGGCTGGGTATTGGCTGACGGCTTTGTCTCTGCTTCAGAGATGGCATCTTCGTGTGCCCTCACATGGGCTATTTCAGAAGAGCTTCTGTCAAGATAAATAATCAGGGTTTCTTTTATTCAACTTCCATCATTCTTTTCTTACCTTTTTCTTTTTAAATCTGAGCATTCCGATGTTTTGTATTCATGTAAAATTTTAACTCTAACCCTGTATAGATTGAGGGGCATTAGTGCCTTAGTAGGACTGTAGTTAAAAAGTAATTTTATTTTTATAGCACTGAGTCTGCTTTCTTTATATTGTGATGAATCTTGCTTTCTGCAAGATTGTTTGCATAAGTAAAATCTTCAGTTTTGCATCATGGTGTACTTTCTGCATGTAATTAACATTAACTTCCTTGTGACTGTGCAGGGCTGGCTATTTGCCTCAGAATATTCCCCTGGAGCTTATCAGATACCTGTCTGAGGAGAAGGATTTTCTTCCTTGGCATGCTGCCAGCCGAGCTCTCTATCCTCTAGACAAATTATTGGACCGCATGGAGAACTACAATATCTTCAATGTAAAAAAATACATAATTTCCTCTCTCTCTTATTTTAGAAGATAAAATATTTTTTTCTTAATCTATTGTATGCTATCGATCCTGAGTTATTTTAAAAATTCCTTCTGCTAGTTTATGTTGTCATTTTTTTGTCCCGATTTTCTGTATAATACCAATGACCATTATTATCTGAAGAAGAAATTTAATAGAAGCTGACTTTTGTTCTGGCCTGAAAGTGTCAATTAAGCTTAAATGCTTCAGAATTTAAGAAGAAATATACATGACAAATCCGTAAAGTTCAAATGTACTTTCCAAGAGTTAAAGGGCTTGGTGTTCACAAAGGACTTAACTTGGGAAGGGGGATCCCAAAGATCTTAACAGAATATAGACAGGTTCAGTAGAGATTCTTAGAATTATTTTTTATCCAAAAGGGCATGGTGAGTCCAATTCACTTCCTTAATTAACAAGGATAAGATCAACATTGAACCAAAAGCCCATTCATAATTGGGTCCAAGGGGAAACAGGAAAGCAAACAATAGATAATCCAAACAGACATGAAGGCATGACAAACATCCCACAATGTTACCTGACCAGATTTTCCTCTTCTCAAAGCCTAGGAATTCAAAATTGCTCTGCACACTACCTAATTGGATTTAATAATCGTTTTGAACATTAGGATTAAGTACTCCTAATGAGTTCTTGATTCCTAAAGGTCTTATCACTAAGCATTTTCACACATTATTTTCTTTTCTCCAATAAGAAGCTGGGGTTTGTTTTCTATAAAATTATCTTATACTAATCAGCATATGCATTCAAAATTATTGTAAACTGTATTTCCAAGACCTGAGCTCTTTTCTTAGTCATTTAAGTTCTTGGTCATCTCAGTTGTTTAATTTGTTCATTGTCCTAAGCCTGCAGGAAAGTAGCACTTTAACAATTTATTTTATTGTAAATGAGAATAATCCTGGTTGGACTGCTTATTATCATTAGTTTTGTCTAAGTTCTTCCAACAAGCATGTAACAAATGAGGTCATTAATATAATTTTTTTGTCTGTGAGAGAACCACTTATAATTCTCTTTGCCTATTCCAGAAAAACTGTATGAGAAATGTATATGAAAGTAAAATACATTTGCTTTGATATCAGATGCCTCATTTTTAGTAAAAGTGAAGAATTGCTTTTACTGTAACTTCAGTGCTTTCCTTTGACAATTCACGTGAGGGAGAGCATATATACATTCACATATATATGTATATTTAAATATATAATTTGAATAGATTTTTGACTTTGTAAGAGCATATCATTCATGGAGGTGTTCTGGTTATCTCACCTTCAACAATGCTAGTCTATTGATCGGGCCCAAAATAACAGCCTTATTTTACATATGTTCTATCGCCACAAAATTCATAAATACTAGATGCTTATTTTCCTAAAGTGTACCTATGTATATTTGTGTGAACATATGCATGGGTGTAAGTACCAGTTTCCGTTATTTTTTTTAAGTAAAAATTGTCACCTAACATATTTAATAGTGCAAATTACATAGTCATTGAGTAGGAAGCAAAGAACAGATTACTATCATTTTGACATGTGTGTTTTATACTTAATTTTTGTGTTGAAAATACTATACTGAATAAATTAGAATAGAGCATTACTCTACCTATAATTTATGAATATTTAAAAGTAGATATATTGAAGCATTACAGTGACAGTGAAATTTATAGAGTCTAAATAGAAGAGTTTGTAACTAATATTATCTTTTTTTTTTCTCCCATTCTCCATTTAGGAATATATATTAAAACAAGTTGCTACGACATACATCAAACTTGGATGGCCAAAAAATAATTTTAATGGATCCCTTGTTCAAGCATCCTACCAATATGAGTACTGTTTTTTTCTTTAATACTCCTTTCTTCCCTAGAGCTGTACAATAACACATTTCCAGCAGCACTGTGACTAAAGCAGCAGGAGAGTCCATTTCTTTCATGCTGCATTTTGCATTTCAATTTCCTGTAAGGACTGCTGCTGAGTATCAAGGCTTCCACTGACTAAGAGTGAGAACAAAGGCATTATATTTCCTTGCTACATTTTCACTGGAGATCTTTTATTGAGATATTGAGATCAGAACATGTTCCCATGAGTGGAGAACTCTCTTCTGAGAAGACTTTGGATGTGTGATTTCCAGTCTGCTTAATTGTCCTTACCCAGAAGATAGGATTTTACTTTGGTGTCATAATTTACTTATGTACCCATTACATAATGAATTACGCCACATTTCTCTCCAAATGTTAACACCATTTTTTAAAAAAACTGTTGTTTTCTGATGTTATATAGAGAGCTTCGCAGGGAAGTGATCATGTTGGCCTGCAGTTTTGGCAACAAGCACTGTCACCAGCAAGCATCGACACTCATTTCAGATTGGATTTCCAGCAACAGAAATAGGTAGGTACCACCAAGGTCTGTATTTCTGATATTAAGCAAAGATATTTTCAGATCTTGGTGGAGCCATACCATTTATTAACTAGAATAAATCAACACCCAAAAAATATATAACAAAATGTTCAGGTTAAAAGCCTGAAAAGAAGCAGCCTGAGTTTTCTGCTTTCTTCATCTATGTTCTCAATTTGCCTCAAATTTGGTAGCTCTCCAATCTCATCAGAACAAAGTAAGTTTGGCCCAAATATTTTAAGTTTCTATGGAAAAGTTCCAATATTTATTTTTAAAACAATTACCGGCATAGAATATAAACAAGGTAGCATAGCATATGTTAATAATATTAAAGCAAAAAGGTTATGAAAAGAGGTCTTTACTCGTTAAGTGACCCTTGACAATGACCTTAAAATTGTAGCTTATCTTAGAATTTAGTGATGCATAATTATAATACAAAATATGATAGTTATTTGAGGGAAAAAATTCACTAAATGTCATTTGATAATGAAAGACTACTAAACATCAAAGAAATAAGATCATTAGTTCCCTTACTATACTCTTTTGGACCAACCTAAAGTGTCCTTGTTATTCTAAGGGTGGTTATTTTCCTTTTTTTTTTTTAATGAAAGGAGCTATTGTCTATTACTACAGCTTCTGGATTTCATAATTAATTACTTGAGAAGAAAGAGGATCTGAGTTGAAGCTTGGTGTGAGGGTCTTTGACATAAAACTAATACTAACTCTAAGGGTACCAAAGAAAGAGATTGTTGTACATAATCAGAGAAACATAGGCAGTGTAAGTTGCTTATAAAATGAATTTGTACTTTTCCTATTAAGAGTTACATATATTTAAATTTAATATCTCACTGTCTCCCAATCCAACAGTAGCAATTCAGTTTTTAAAGATTTATAAGGGAAATCTTTCACTGCATTATTCAGTAATTTGTCATAGCTCACCTTTTTTAACATTTTCCTATTTGCCCTTTCAGTTAATGGTTTCTGGTCTTACGCTAAGTCGAAAACTACCAACTGTCAATTGATCACGTATTTTAAGATAATGATTTAATTTTTCATCAGACTTCTCTGAAAGCATGGTGCCCTCATTTTTAAAACTTTTGGTAATGATTATTTTTTTTTCCTTTCTACGCTATTTTTATTGTCAAGGTGATGTACAGAGAAGTGGTCATAATTATTTTTGTGTAAGCCTTCTGAATATATTATTTGAGCTTTTTATCCAGATTAGCATCATCTTGAACGTTTTAATATACTTTATTGTTATTATAGAGGTGATGTACAGTAGGGTTACATTTACGTGAGTCAGGTAATGAGTACATTTCCTTTTGTACAATGTATTCTGTTTCCTCATTCCCTTCCAATCTCTCCTTCCCATCTCTCATATAGAGACATTTGTCTGTAATCAATAATCCAAAATTAAGATCCATATCATCTATAGACAGGAGGAAAATATAAATACTATTTACAAATTAGTGCCTAATTCCTTCTCATTTTTAAAATTTTACTATGTAAAATATGCACTTTACTGGAGCTGATAACAGTTCTTAAATCCTCAATGATATCTACCCACAAAACCATATGTTCTAATCATTTCAGTAAGATGAAATGTATATCATTGCACCATTATTTCTCTAGAAAGTTTTCTTTTTTTCTTCTTCTTTTTTTTTTTTTTTTTTTTGTTGATTGTGGGTACTGAACTCTGGGCCTGGGCACTGTTCTTGAGTTTTTCAGCTCAAGGCTAGTGCTCTACCATTGACCTACAGTGCCACTTCTAGCATTTTCTGCTTATGTGGTGTTGAGGAATTGAACCCAGGGCCTCATGCATGAAAGGCAAGCACTCTACCACTGAGCCACCTTCCCAGTCATTACATCATTTAAATTTGTCTAAAGAATTTTTAAGACCTACACTAAAATATACACTAGTTGATACTCGTGACTCATGCCTATAATCCTACCTGCTCCAAGAAGCTGCGATCTAAAAATTATGCTTTGAAGACAGCTTGGGCAGACAAGTCCAAGAAAATCTTACTTCCAATTAACCAGTAAAGAGCTGGAAGTAGAGGTATGTCTAGAATGATAGAGTGCCTGCCTTGAACAAAAAAGCCAAAGTATAGCACAGAACCCTGAATTAAAACCTCAGGTACAGCAGAAAAAAATTATATATATATATATATATATATATATATATATATATATATATATGATATCATCCTAAAAGTATACTAATGATTGCAAATGAGGGAAACATGGGAAAAAACAACAATAGAGAAAAACAATGAACTGTATAGAAGTTCTAATGAGAGCCTCTTTATTCCAAAAGTTGGAGTTAGTGTTAATAGGCTTCATTATATATAGTCCTTTGCACCTAAGCATTTGGGATCTTGAGATCCCCTGTTAAGAGTATCTTCTATATATTCTAGTTCTTACAGATGAGGGAGATCATGTGACCTGCTTTTCTTTGGGCCTGGCTTACTTCACTTAATATAATTTTTTCCAAGTCTTTCCATTTCCTTATGAATGGAACAATGTCGTTCTTTCTGATGGGAGCATAGGATTCCATTGTGTATATGTACCATATTTTATCTACCGAGGGAAATTTGGGTTGGTTCCATAAATTAACTATGTTAAATAATGCTGTGATGAACATCGTCGTACTGGTGGATTTAGTGTGGCCTTGTTTGTGGACATTTGGGTAGATTCCCAGAAGTGGGATTGCTGGTATACATCTAGGATAATTTTATCAGATGAGCAAAAAAGCTCAATACCTATGTACATATGAGTGTATAAGATGATGCTAAGTGAAATGAACCACAAGATAGGGACACAAGAGGTGTTTTCTTTGTTGCTGTTGTTTTTTAATGTACTTATAATGGACTATGTGATTTTTTCGTTTCTTTTGTATGTTCTTCCTCCATTCACTGTATTGGATTCCCATGTCCTGCATCTCATATACACATTTTTCTAATGGGGAGGAGAAGGGAAATATACATATATATGATATCATATATGTACTATATATTTTCTGGATATATGTACTATATATTTTTGAAGTAATTCATTTATTTGATAAAATATTACTGACCATTATCAGTATCAGCTGATATTTGGAAAGCAAAATGTGTCTCAAACATTTTATTCTGTAAAGGGAACTGAGCAAAAGATAGGGAATAGACATGACAGAAGGTGTCCCTCTCTTTCTCTCTAAAAGGATTCTCCCTTTAGGCCAAGAAGGATGCTAGGATTCTCTGACGCTGACTTGGAGGCAGCAATAGGCATATCCTAATATGTAAGGATGGGGATTCAACCAGAATGTACTTAGGTTGCTGGCGTATTTGAGTAGTGTATTAACTTTTGCCTTTTAGCATCGAATGAGCATCATTCTGAAAACACTTTTAAATGAATATTCTTATATAACGTGTCAGTCATTTTGGCTTCAATCGCTGTGCCATTCATTCATGGTAAAAATAATTAAATAGCAGCCAAACACTTTAAGGTTCTTATTGTCATTTTCTTCATTATTTTTGATTTTCTGCTTTGCTTTCTTTTCTAACTGATCAAGTAAACATGCTAAGCTACTAAGATTTGAATAAACCAACTCTATGACATATGCTGCAGTGGGGTCATACAATGCCCATTGTGCATGAAGATCAGGACTTCCATCCTGTCTTGTGGATAACGGCTTAAAAATAGGACAAAACGTAATTTAACAGTTGATACTGATTTTAAATTTCTGAAATTAAGTCAGCCATGAAAAGAACAAGGTAGCTTTCTAAATGTGTCTGTAGCTATAGGCTGGTCAGCAATTTTGTTGTTTTTGTTGTTGGTTTGTATGTTTAACTGGAATCATAAAAGAATTGATTTGTAATAATATCTTTAAAAATGAAAGCTAATGTAAAAATATATAAGGTAGTTTTGGAGATGTAGATTTATGCCAATACATCTAAAGTACAATGAGTCTTAAGAGTAGCGAGGATAAGAAAATCTTTGGGATGTTGTACCAGTATGTAGCATCTTGTTGACTCATTGGGCAGTTGAACAAAATCAAACATTAGAATCAAGAAAATGGAAAAATGTGGAAGTTGGTAGAAAGCGGAACACTGTAAAGAAAAATTTCAATGAATTTTGCTAGAGATAGTAGCAGCAGCGAGAAACATTCAGGAGCAAAGGTGGATGATAAATTGAGTGAGTCGACATTCTGATCCCTGTTAAAATATTCAAATGCTACAGTGTGCTGAATTGTAATGGTGATACTATGCATAAGAATGGATTGAGCAACATTCAAGTCTTGTTAGCCTGCAATTTGCAGATGAAGTTCAGCCGAACCCCACATTCCAGAAAGGAGACAAATTGCCATGCTTTCCACAGAAAACAATAAAAATCATAAAACCATCCTGAAAACATGAGCTAGAAAAAGATCATGTGGGGACTGGGAAGGCAGCTCAGCGGTAGAGTGCATGCCTTGCAAGCATGAGGCCCTGGGTTCGATTCCTCAGCACCACATAAACACAAAAAGCCAGAAGTGACGCTGTGGCTCCAATGGTAGATCACTAGCCTTGAGCTGAAGAGCTGAGGGACAGTGCCCAGGTCCAGAGTTCAGGCCCCATGACCGACAAAAAAAAAAAAAGAAAAAAAAAGAAAAAGATCATGTGAAACCTGGAAATTTTACACACACACACACACACACACACACACACACACACAGAAATAAAAAGTTAGTTCTTTTATATACACAAAAAGCAAAATATAAGGTATAGAAAGTGCCTTTTTAAATTTATTGATGAGGGTAAGTCTAACTTTTATTGAATAAATATAAAGAATATATTACTACTGCAAATAAGTTAGTTTCTATATTAACCCACAATATGACGATTATACAGTTGCCATAAGAGATCAGAATATAGCATTGTAAGTTTTTATCAAGTAATAAATTTAAGTTGGAATTAAACATAATATCTACAATAATATATTAGTTTCCAAATACCTTTAAAGGTCACATA